ACTTAGCAATATTGGCTTCTGAAATAATGAATGAGGAGCATCCCTATTTTTAGGGATACTACACGTACATAACTCTAAAAAATATGTCAAAGAATGGAAATAATAAAGAAACGTGTAAAGGCAGCAAAAACAGGATTCTCTTTCCTTAAAAACTTGGTTCCAAATCTTGCCTTAAAACTTGGTTCCAAATTTGATTACTTTCCAAGTTGAATTCCACCACGTTTCCTTCCATATGGCAACCTTAATTTGGGGCACAATCCCAACAAGAACCAGGTGCATGAGGCATTTCATTCAGTGATGCAAAATTGTCACAATTTTTTCTTTTCCACTATGACTGACCTCCTGCGAAAATTCTTCAAAATAATGACCCTCGATTTTTATGTTGTTGAATCATGGAGAAAATAATTTTTCTCATAGTATATGCCCTTTATAATAAAAACAAATAAAGATGCAAACCTGAAAGCATCTGGAATGCTTAATCTCGGTGAATGTTTTGAGTATTACTGTCAATTGAATGAAACCTCATTCATGGAAAGTGTTTTATGTTCTCGTATAAATAGGAATAATGTTTTGCAGGACTTGCAGTCGGCCTAAAAAATTGGCTCCGAATCACTTTCGCTGTTGAGCCATCATCACTTGAAGAAGGACTGGAACGTTTGAAGTCCTTTTGTCAACGGCATTCCAACTTACAAAATGGATGTTGATGATTCAAGTAGGTCCTCGAATACCTTGTTTTGTTGTATAGGAAAAGTAGCTGGTTCTATTCTGTAGAATACATTATACTGATGCAGATGAAAATCAAGAGATTATACAAATGTCACAGCCATTTTCCATTTTTTTTTCTTCAGTATATATTGAAATTATAGTTAATGTAATGTGTATTCAATTTGATAAAATTAATCTGCAAAAAATATACTTCGTCCTGAGTTATCTTATTTGCTCAACTCTGCTGATCTAAATTTGATAGTCGTTGCGAGGGAAATTTGAAAGTTGTTGTGAGGTCGTTTTATTCGCATAGAAGTTCTTCTAAAAAGTAGTGTTTGTCCTTGTACCATTGTTAGAAATACATCAAGTAGAATTCATCTTTAACATCGGTTTATAAGCCCAGAAACTATAATTTGTACCTTTTTTTGGACAAACCATTTCTTTTCTTGATCAATTTTCTTATATTAATTATCGAATACCAAGTTTTATAGTGCATGTTTTATAAGCAGTATTAGACCTCACAATGTAACATGTGTCTCTTTTCTAATGTTGTCTAATAGAAAAACCTTTTATTAACAAATACTTTAATTAAATTTTGAATTTAGATAAATAATAATAAATAAATCGTGCATTATATAGAACACCCATTGCCTTGATCGGCCTTCTTGTTTGGGTTATTGGGTTCTTCAATTTATTCCAATATGTTCCTTCAATCACATTTTCTTAACGTTTCATCATTTCTTGAAATTTAATCAAGTTTCGTGTATAATTTTTGCATGGATCCCTCGATGTTCTTCCAATCCTACTTTCTTTACGTTTCATCATTCTTGAAATTAATCAAGTTTTCTTGAAGCCGTTGTTGTGTTGAGAATAAGGCTTAACTTATTTATTTATTTATTTTTACGTTGCATTGTGGGGTCAAATTATTAAGAACTTCCAATTAAATATTATTGGGTTTTTCCTTTTTCTTTACGTTTCTTCGATCAAGTTTCATAATTAATGAACAACATGATGATATTCATATAGTTTCTTCTCGAATAATGCTTAATTTATTGTTGCATCAACCCGGGTCGAGGCCGGATTATTTTATAACTTAATACCAGTAGCTATTCTAATTGTATAAACAAATAATATATCTAAATATTTCTAATAATCTGTTTGATAAGCCACAATTTCCAAGGAAAATGGAAAGTATTTTCCTTTTCACCACAAAGCAGCCGTTTGATTGTCAAAATTAACCCTGGAAAATATTTTCTTGGCCGCCGCTTCACACGCTGATTTTCCTCCAATTGTTGGAAATTGTTTTCCTTCTGTTTTGCTAGATTTTGATTTTCCAGCTTTGCGCTTTTTATTTTTATTTTTTAGCAATTGGAAAAAATTCTAGACACAGGGGTAAAAAAATTTATCACTTTTATTGACAATTTTCATGCAAAATAAAGCCAAACTAATGGTATTCGGCATAGTATTTTTTTTAATTAAAATGAATTTTTTTAATTTTTTGGCAATTGGAACAAATGTTAGACCCAATGGTAAAAAAATCGTCATTTAGTTAGACAATTTTCATGAAAACAAAGCCAAACGGACACCAAATTTTCAACATTTTTCAGGTGGAAAATTATACAATTCAAATAGAATTAATTACAATTCCCAGTAAATAATTTCTAAGCAATTCAATTTCCTGAAATTTATTTTCTTTCCACCCATTTTCCACATTTGCAATCAAACGGACTCTAAAAGTAAAAGTTATATAAAAATAAGTTCTACTCTTCTTTACCATTAGACATAAGCAAGGGAGTGTCAAAATAGATGGATGGACTCAAACCGGCCCGTTTCTATCCTGACCCAATTCAAACTTGTTGCGGACTAGAAACGGCCCATATAAAAATATAAGAGCGAGCTAACCCTGAGTGTCCATCACATCTTATGGCCGGACCAAGCTATTGACCCAGCAATATTACAGGCCAAATTAGCCCAACACGTCATCATAATTTTTTTTTTTTTTTAATTTAAAGGGAAATTTCCATTTTTTGTTTCTAACACGTGCGTAATGTAACAAATCTATTATTAACGCTTTTTAGCATAATAATTCATCTACATCCTTTTAATTAACTCATCATTTCATTTATTTTGATCGTTAAATGACAAAATTTTCTCCTCTTTAAATAAAAGAAAGCAATAAACAGCAACGAGTAAGAAAAATTTGCAAAAAATTACCCATAGCTTTTTAAAAATTACAAATAAAACAATTAAGTCATTGTTTGGCATCCGTTTTGGAGAATTTATAAATTTTGGAATAGTATTTGATAAGAGAATGTGTAATTAAAAAATAGTAATTTTTTTTAAATTTTATGTGTAATATTATTTTATTTGGTTAAAATTAAGAAAGAGAAAAATTATAATGAGGTCGAACAAGGGATAAATATTAATTTTATAACTTTAAAAAGTTGAATGCGGATATGCTCATGCTCTTGAACTTACTGGGGCTCACTCCAAATATTTCCAAAATTTAATAATTTATTTTCAACTTTTCTCGTGAACCCTAGCATACTGGGACTATTTCTTCAAGAATTCTCATCATCGG